GTTACGCGTGGGGCGTCCGGTTTACAAGAAGCAGACGGGGCCGATGTCGATGCCGAATTCCTGATCTGGAGCGCCAACGTCCATGGGAGCCAAATCGATGATGGGCAGGCGAGAGGTCTTCGTCGTCTTGTACTCGATGACTGTCTTGCCCCAAGCGCCGGTGTGACTCTGCGGGGAGGTCAGGATCAGCCCCGGCCCCATAACACGTCCCCACCACCACCACCGTGACCGTCCCCTGGACCACTCACCGTGCAGCCGTCCTCGGTGACGCCGTAGGTGAAGCGGCTGGTTGCCTCCGCCCGCAGCTCCAGCGGAGAAGGGCCTTCTTCAGGTTGCCGGTGTCCTGGTCCATGTAGGCGACGCTGTTCTTGTCTTGCAGTGTGATGTTCTGGGCGGCCTCGGTGGACATCAGGCGGAGGAAGGTCAGCTGGATGGCGACGTCGGCTGGGTTGGAGCCCTCACCACCATACTCGAACTGCCGGAGAAGAGGCGTTAGGCACCGCAGAGCTGGTTGTCCATCCTAGTTGTCCCCCCGCCCCATCATCCACTTGCTCACCTGGAAGCCATCGCTCATCGTCTCGCCGAACCAGATGTGCTTCTTCTCCTTGGGGTTCTTGCTGAGGTACCAGTTCTTCTGGGCAATGGTGGCCTGGGTGGGGTAGACGCACGTCTCGCCTGTCTCCATGTTACAGTAGACCTTGATGGCGTCCAGGTTGCAGCCTTGGTTGGGGTCGATCCAGTATTCACCTGCGGGACAGAGGGAGGTGGGTCAGGGAGCGGGGAGGGAGGCAGGTGGCCCTGATGGATGGAGGATGGAGCTGAGGAGCAGCCATGGAGGATGGAGGTGAGGAGCAGGTGGGAGGGACAGAGGATGGAGGGATAGGTGAGGGTTAGCTGTGAGAGATGGAGGATGGAGGACGGAGGTGAGGAGCAGCCATGAGAGATGGAGGACGGAGGTGGGGAGCAGGTGGGAGGGATCTGGGGCGTGGAGCATGGAGTTGAGCAACAGCCATGAGGAACAGAGGAAGGAGGTGAGGAGCAGCTGTGAGAAATGGAGGATGAAGGGATGGAGAATGGAGGTGAGGAGCAGGTAAGAGGGTTGGAGGTGAGGAGCAGCCACGAGAGGTAGAGGCATGAGAGACAGGATGAAGGAATGAAGGTGAGCATCAAGCAGGGGGGATGGAGGAAGGATGGAGGTGAGGAGCAGGTAGAGGGGGCAGAGGGATGGAGGTGAGAGTATCCCAGAGGGATGCGGAGACCGGCGGGGACACTGACCACTCTTCCAGTCGCCGTGGCACATCTTCAGGTCGCGGCAGGTACGGGCAGGGTTTTTGCGGGTGCCCTCGGGGCTGCGGATGTTCTCGATCTGCTGGCTCAGGCTCTTCAGGGTGGTGTCGACCTCCAGGTCCCGGTCGCGCATCACGTTGGCGTCGTCGGCTCGGTAGTAGCGTCCACCGTCGTGAGCCTTCTCCTGGGGCGGCTGGGGCAGGAAGCTGAAGTCGAAGCCGCCGCTGGGGGGGCCGGGAGGACCAGGGGGGCCAGGTGGGCCGGGAGGACCCTGCGGGAGGAGGAGGAGGAGGATGTTGAGCAGGAGATGAAGGCAGGC